GACCAGAGGGGGAAGCAGGCTGAGGGCCCTTGGGCGTGCTTGAAGGGCAGTTGCGGCAATGGCTGCGTGAGGTTCGGAGGGGAAGCAGACCTCCGTCCCCTCTCCTAGGCTGGGCAGGCTGGCATCCCTTCTAGCTCGGAACCCTGTATTTCAGCAAGTTGCTTAATCAGAGTGGAAAAGTCCCAGATGCCACAGGTTTGTGGTACCCCCACCACGTTCGCAGGGGCCAGAAGGAGCAGGGTGGCACTGCTGAGCACCCCGCTCTCCCATCACCAGCCCGTATTTCTCCCTCTCCCTTGCTTAAACCCATCCATCTTCAGCGCAGGCAGCATCCTGGAGGCTGCTCACAGCGGACGTTTCGAATCGCCTTTCTGCCAGTACAGAGAAGATGTCATGGCCTTCTTGCTGAATCACTAAATAGCAGCGGCTTCCCTTTGTGCCCCCCTGGGGACACTGCCTCCAAGGTCCATCAGAAAGCGGGTTAAAGCAGGGAGGGAGCTGCAGAACAGTCTCCTCTCCAGAGCAGAAGCTGACGTGGGCCCGTGAGCCGCTCTGGGGCTGCCATCCAACTGGGCTTTTCCAGGACCATCCTCCCACCAGCCCGGAACCGGGGCCGTACAGATTTTGAGGACTTTCTCAGCTTGCTTATGTGTCAGCCATGACCACTGCGCGTGTCCTGTGTGGTGGAGTAAGGAATTTCCAGGCATGCTTCAGTCTGGCTGGAGCAGCACTTGTGTACTGTCGGACGACATGCAGAAGCTCTAACACCTTCCAGGAAGGCTGGATGTAGACGTAACATGCTGGAGCTCCTGGGAAGCACCGGGCAGGCCTTCTGGATGCGCACGGCCAGATGTTCCACACATGTGCGTTAAATGCAATACACCGCGGCTGCCGGTTTTACTACCTGTATAATGGAAAGCACATGGGCACGCTTCATGTCTGGAAGCAGAAACGTAAGAACCCTCCAGAAGCTGACGCTGATCCCTAGACATTGACTTTATGCTGAAAACCTACCACACCGAGACACCTGGCAGAACTGGGGAGGAGCGGGAGAGATCGATCCCCAGCTTGCCAAAGCTTCAGGAACTCCCTCTTTTCACGTGCAGTGGGACTAATCACAGCTACTATTCCTGTAGTCCCCAGCTTGAGGTTCATTGTGGTGTGAATAGGGGCTTGCTGGGTAATTACGCCTTCCAAAGAATCATTTATTTTTGCCTTGTGTTGAGAACATTAGCTCTGTAATTGGAAGGGACAGCTCGAAAAACCATGTCCTGCCAGGCAGGAGGAGAACAACACGCGCGGATACTCGCCGTTTGCTACGCTGGAGCCGAAGAGCAGCCAGAGGGTGATTCTGGTCACTAACGCTTACTGATTTCGTGCCTCCGTGGTGTAACTGAAACCTGTTCTTGGCCTGTTGGGACAGCGGAGAAAAACAGGGGGGTGATTAACTTCTAGCAAGAAGATTCAGCAGTGTCCAACCAGCTAACCCACGTGGCTCTTAGAGGCAAAGCCTTCTCCGTCTCAAAGGAAACCGGGCCTCACGCGGATTTCCTATTCTCGTGGTCTGGCTTGCCTGGCGAGCGGGATAACGTGCTGCACCAGGCCGGCCCTGTGCTGCCTCTGGCAGCCTGGGTCGAAGCTGCCTCTCCCGGTTCTAAGGGGCGGGGAGGTGGGCTGAGATCCCATGCTCCATCATCAGCCCGTTCGCAATTACTTGGGGAGGAAGCCTATGAATCCACCTGGCTTGCTCTGAGGGGCGAAGGCCTGGAGGAGAATGCCCTAAGGAGATGTTTGTTAAAGATTAAACAGAGATATCCTACAGAAAGGTGATGTGTGAACTGCTCAGAGACTCTGGGTAAGACAAAGGACAATGCAACAGAGGAGCTCACTCCAGCAGCCACTTTTGCTCTGATCCTTAAAAGCGTTGCCGAAATGTTGACTCAGAGCGGTTACAGGGGTGATGACGTGACAGGTTTACTGTAGCTTTTAACTAACACACACAAAGGGACAGGATGCTCTGTTGAGAGTGGTATTGCCTCCATGAAAGCAAACTAGTTGTAACTGTCGGTGACGCCAAAGCATCTTCTGCTAGCGAAGAACAAACGGCTGCAGATTCCTGGCCCCGCTCCACTTCCAATCATTATACTAATTAATTTTCCCGCCACTGGACACAGCATTGTTCTTTGCCTGCTGCCTGGCGTGCAGAACACCACAGAACGACGCGGTCAGCTCTTGGCGTACCTCACACCTCCGGCGCCTGCCTTCGCCGCCCGCGCAGAACCGTCACGGGCAGGGAAGGCGACAGGAGAGCGGCACCACCGCGGGGTGCTCGGGGCACAGCCAACGGAAACCGAAACCCACAGCTCTTCGGGTGTTCGTGAGTAACTTTTTATCGAGCTAGCTCACGCAGGTATGAAGAAAACAAACAGAGTAAATCGTAAACTGACTCATTCTTGGAGGCTGAGTGCTTCCAGCCCGCCCTGAATTACTGTTACACCATACACATTTCTCACACCTTGTCAATTACCTGTGTTTCTAAGGGACCAACATCAGGTTCTAAAAGCCCAGCTTTAAGCCTTACCTGCCTTACGCCTGTTTAAATTTCAGAGATATTGTAAGAAGGAACTTAGGAGTGAAATAAAAATGAGAAAGGCTGCTTATCTTACTTTTGTTATGTCCTGGTTTTGTCTGGGATAGAGTTAATTTTCTTCCTGGTAGCGGGTATAGTGCTGCGGTTTGGGTTTAGGATGGGAATAACGTTGATAACACCCTGATGGTTTAGTTGTTGCTAAGCAGCGCTCACACCAGTCAAGGAGTTTTCAGCTTCCCCTGCTCTGCCCGTGCACAAGCAGCTGGGAGGGGGCACAGCCAGGACAGTGGCCCCAACTGGCCCAAGGGCTACTCCATACCCTGTGGCGTCATGCCCAGTATGGAAACTGGGGGAGCTGGCTGGGGGGCAGCGATCGCTGCTCGGGGATGGGCTGGGCATCAGTTGGTGGGTGGTGAGCAACCACATTGTGCATCACTTGCTTTGTATATTATTATTGTATTATATTATTATTACTACTACTACTACTATTCTATTTTATTTTACTTCAATTATTAAACTGTTCTTACCTCAACCCACGAGTTTTCTCCCTTTCACCCTTCCAATTCCCTCCCCCATCCCACCGTGGGGCAGTGAGCCAGCGGCTGTGTGGTGCTTAGCTGCTGGCTGGCGTTAAACCACGACACGTTATGAAAAGAATACAGAGAGAAGAAATGGAAGGTGCTGCGCTTAAAAAAATAAAACGTAGCGCTACGCTAGCGAGCGTTCACGCTGTGCATTGCGTGCTGCCGGGATCGTCTGTCCGATTCAGGTCCCAGGCAATGCAGCCATAGCCCTGCACAGCGCAAGCCCTACTGAACCCGGTACCGGAAAGCGGCAAAATAATTCACTCTCTAAAACTTAATTTTGGAGTTTTAGAAAGCAGGCATTCTTTATTGCAGCGCCGGGCAGCACTGGGGATAATTCCACCGTAAGTGCTCCGAAGGCTTGATAGACATTCAGTAATTATATACTATGAAAATATGCATATTCGTAGGATTTCCGAGAATTTGTCTACATAAACATGAGATTTCCTGGAACTTATTAACATATGTAAATGTCCGATCTGCATGCGCAATCATCTTCCGTGGTGGTCTTCAGGTGGTCTTTGGGGGTCCTCAGATGAAGGCTCGTAGTCTTCTTCACTGTGTTCGCTGACTGACCTTTACTTCCGCGCAAACTCAGTTCTGGGATCACGTACGCTATGTCCTTCAAGGTCGGTTTGTTCTGGTCTAATGGTCATCTCGCAGCTTTCTCATCCTCATGGCTCCGCACATCTGCTCTCCCAAGGCCTGCCTGTCTAAAGGGGAGTATTCAGGAGCTTCTTGTCTTACAAGTGTCTTAACCGTTCACACAGATTTGCTTTTGTCTGGTTACCTCTGTTGTGTAATGATTCTAACTACTTAAATTGATAGCTTCTGTCTATATTCGCAGGTATCAAACCCAGCTGCTGTCCTAAGGCTCGGTGTCATCCGGGCTCTCCCAGGAGCAGACGCGGACCCCGTCCGTGACCCGCCGTCCCGGACCGAGGCCCTGCCCTAGCAGCACGGGCAGGACGCGCTCCCTTCGCCCCATCTGCCCGGGGTGCTGCCTGCCTGGCAGGGCGTCGCGGCCACGCAGGGACTGGCTCCCTCCTTGGCGCCG